GATATCAAAACAAATTATATTCATTTATAAAAGCTTGGTATATTAAAAGGTTTTTTTTTTTCTATTTTTAGGTGTGTGTCTATAAAATTTTGCATTAGATATTAAAAAAGTTTAACTTGCAGTGAAAAGAGAACAGAAGACTATTGCGCAAAATACACCACACAAATTTTTGCGTAAATACAAATTATTACAAATAAGATTCTTCTTCGATTCCTATTGGTATTTGCGCAAATATTTGTGTGGTTTATTTTGTGCGTATGCAAGCAAACTGTTTTGTGCTCACGTTTAGTATGTGCATCCATACGAGCACCAATTAATTTCACTTAAAGAAATGGCTTGTCATCCATTTCCGCTGTAGCATATGTAGTGCATATTTTTAGGCGCAATATTTAGCTACTTACGGCAAGGCCTACCGACGAGGTTGATAATCTATAATTATAGCTAAAAATGGTGTCTGGACATGCAAATTGATAAAAACGTTGTAATAAAAAGAGAGTTCTGTTTATATAAAAAAAAATTTTAAATCATACTGCGTGCGGTTAAGTAAAATATGAGTTTCCAACAAAAGGTGTTAAAATTAAGTTTTAACCCGTACATATTTCTGGATAGAGTCGGCACCTATCTAAAAAATTAAAATGAGTGCGATATATCGTCGCTACCATGTCAAACTACCGAATGTGCAAAAATGCATATTGCATCATTTCACTTAACTTACATAATTACGTCCTCATGTTAGTCCAAAGCTTATGCGTACACCTTTCGTGTGATACCTATACTGTGGTATTAAATAAGCTTAAGTTTTGAATAATAATTGTTCTATTTTTTAGAAAGGTGGCTTTTAGTTTAGGTGAAGAAAGTTAAATATTTTATTAACCTTTAAATAATTTTAAATTTTCAAATATCTGCCCTAAAATTGTTTACCACGAACCTAAGAAAACATCAAGCAGAATGCACAAAAGAATTAACCACATCCATTGAGCGTTGGTGCGTGATGTGGTTATGAAACCATAAAATAACTAATTTTTGTAGAGTGGCTCAATAAAAAACTCGGACATACATAACATGCAACTTCAAGTTCAAAATTTTCGTAAGCAATGCAAGTTAAATATTTTAATTTTTTTATTTTTCTATTGGGTATTCAAATAGGATTTTAAAAATAACAATGATAATTTACAAATCCATTACCTCCTTGATATAAAAAAAAGTTAACATACAGCATGCTTAAAATTGGTGTCAAAAAGGAAGTCGGACATCTGGCAATATTACAGTTGTTTGACAATTTTAAAAAGGCAATCCCACAATGAATTTGCTTTCTGTAAAAAGGTACCAAACGTAATAACTTAAAATAAAATATCAGTCGTGTTTTTTTGAATAAAAGTCCAAAATTAACTATGGGTAGACGGCGTGGACAAAGCTCAATCGAAGTAAGAAAATTAATCATGAAAAGGGTAAAACCGTTCGGGAAATCGCAGACGTAGTGGATAGACTTCGTTCGATTGTACACGACGCACAGTGGCTCGGATCGCAAATCTAGCTGGACGAAACTATTTAAACAAATACTCGTTGATGGATCTTTACACCACTTCTTACCTAGGGGATTTTTGGGTCGCTGATTACAAATCTGAAGTCACTTATCAAAAATTCAAAATGGCTTATCCAATATGGCGGACGAAAATAAAAAAAATCGGTAGATTTCTATGAAACTGGGTATCTGGGGGTTTTCTGGGTCGCTAATTACATATCTAAAGTCATTTATCAAAAATTCAAAATGGCGGATCCAATATGGCGGACGAAAATTTAAAAAAATCGGTAGATTTCTATGTAACTGGGTATCGGGGGGTTTTCTGGGTTGCTGATTACGAATCTAAAGTCATTTACTTAATTTACTTCGGAACGAGCATTTTCATCAGATATTTCTTTCAATTTACTAATCACATAATCACGGACACCTTGTTGTCTTTTAGAAGTTTCAGCAACACTTCTCCAAATGTCAAACAACTCACTTCTTAAGATTTTATTTACCATGACTAAAATTTAAGGTCACAGCAAGAAAGACAAATAAATTTTAGCAAAAATTTTATAACAGCGCTTAAAGATTTGCATGCCTGCTGTATAATTTTTTAATTTCAGAAAGGAGAAAATTCGCAAGTTACTATTTTTTTTTTAACTCTTACATAACCAAAGTTTTTATAACTCCAAGTATTTTTCTGTTTTAACATACAACCCCTATAGAGTTCTCAAATAGGCGGCGTTGACTTACCTTTTTTTGTTTGTTTTCATATGTTAATGCTTTAATAAATGCAATTTCTATTTGAATGTATTGCCAGGAATGTATTCCAAGTACCATTAAGTATTTTAAAAACAAAAAAAATGTTGACTTTCGTCCAGCTAGATCTGCTATCCGAACCACTGTGCGACGTGGTAAAACGTTTCAAAGAAACAAAATGCGTGGAAAAAAGGAGAAATCGGGACGACCAAAACTGGATGCAGATGAACGGTGGATAGTGCAACAAATTAAGAAAAATCCAAATTTGAGCGCTCCTAAACTCTTAACAGAAGTCGCCCAACACCTTAATATCAACTGCAACGAATAGTATTGCGAAAGAATAATTATAATGGAAGAGTTGCATGGAAGAAACCTTTCATCAAAAGAGGTTAACCGACAGAAGAGAATAAAACTTGCAAAGCGTCATGGGGATAAGGATTTCGAGTTCTATAGGGCCGTTTTATTTTCAGATGAAAGCAAGTTCAACAGTTTTAGGTCAGATGGACAATCATATGAGTGGAGAAGACCTAATGAAGAGTTGCTGGAAAAAAAACGTACGCCCGACAGTTAAACACGGGGGCTGGTCGGTAATGGTATGGGGTTGTATGTTCGCTGCTGGTACTGGAAATTTGTGCTTCATTAACGGCAATATGGACCACAAACAATACCTAACAATTGTGAAAGAAAATTTGGTCCAAAGTTCTGAAAAGTTGGGAATTAAAGACCACTTCCAGTACTATTAAGACAACGATCCCAAGCATGAGGCCCTTGATGCCCGTCTATGGCTTATTACAACTGTCCTAAAGTGCTTGAAACACCTCCACAATCTCCAGACATTAATATAATTGAACATCTGTAGGCTCATTTGGAAAACCAACTGAAAAAGCATGTTATTAGAAACAAGAAAGACCTAGAAGATGTTATTAAAGAAGAGTGGGAGAAAATAGATCCTTTAACATGCAAGAAGCTGGTCGAATCTATGCCAAGAAGACTGAATGCTGTCAGAAAAAATAAAGGCTTGTCGACTAAATATTAACTTATTTTTTTCTTTCTGAAATAATATTTGCCAAACTCTACTTAATATAAATGTCCGAGTTATTTTTTGTCATGTATTATGTTAAGTTTTTATGTTTGTATTTTCTTTATACGTATGAGTTGCAGTTTGTTTATGTTTTGATTTGAAATTATATCACTTGGGTGGCCGAGTTCTTTATTGAGCCACTGTATATAACAGATGGGATTATCGGTTATTAAAACACACTTAGTAAAATTTTTAAGTTAAATAAGCATTATAGTGTTATTTTTTTAAGACCTCTGAAGAGAAATTGTCTTATTTGATCAAAAAATATTTATTTTTAACGATTTTATAGCAATTCTACCAAAACATGTATTTTCCCCATTGAAACTTCAAAGCCCCGGCGGCAATGTTGGGCCACCCTAATGTCATACTTCTTTTTTATTCCTTAAACGATTTTAATAAATACATACAAATATAAGTATATTTAGACATATTTAAAAAAGGAACCCAAACGGAATTTAATTTGAGCTAAAGGCTCAAACAAGAAAACAAAAAAAAAATTTGTAAACATAAAAACTTAAGCCCTGTTTCCAGCTCTCCAAAAAAACAAAAAATTCATATAAAATGTCGCACAAGAAATGAAAAGAAACTTTCTTTAATAATAATAATAATCCCAACGGTTTTACCCTCCTTTCACGCCCATCCGCTCGAGGGGCGCAGTCCGCATGACGTACGGAACCATTATTTAAATTTTTGCGCCGAAAGGCAGGAGTTTGTTAAGTTTCGAGGTCTAAAACTGTTCAGCTACAGAACTAAATTTATCAGCTGATTTTTTGTCTATATGTTAGTAATTCATTTATTGAGAGGATAGTGTCGCTTTCTTAATGCTTTTACCAAAACTTCTTAAACCAGTTTGCAGTTCTCAAGAAAAAAATGCTCGTATTTTTATTTCTTCAAGAAAATTCACTGTGAAAGCAAAGTGCTTTTCCAAGCAACAGAAATAGTGAAAAATATTTCTTGTGATTTTTCTTGAAAGCTGGATTCTAAGCTTTGCCCCCAAATTCATAAAAAATAAAGCAACAAATCGAAAATTTTTATGAAACTGTCATTTTATAAAGCTCTTCAAACCTATTTTATTTTTTATGAATAAGGCCATTAATTTGTTGATATATTCAAACTGTATAATAGATAAAAATATTACCCTTTTCCATAATGAAAAAAAGAAAATCAAACTAGATACCCATCGATATTTTTAGTAGCCATCTTATAACCTACGAATTATAAGATTATGTCTACGTATAAAATACTAGCCTTTTATAAATTTAATCCATTATGCAAGTCATGACGATGCATATGTATGAATGTACATATCTGGAAGTCAATATAATTTACTACCTAATAATTATATTATATTACATCGTGCTCCATTTAATATGCACTACATTTCTATTTCTAACAATCAGTGGAGAGTCTTGGTTCTACAACGCCAAATTGAATGGTAAAACCGAAGGTTAAGTGAAAGCACGATGTAATATGGGACAAAAAAGCGGTCTTTGTAGTGACACTTTAACGACTATCTGCTTTTTTGTGGACTACAGCAGTAACGTTGCATTTAGCAGAGGATGAGAATGAATGCAGTTATATCGACAAAAAAAATTTCGTTTCATGTGTAAAACGAGTATTGTGCGAAATTTTATCTCTTTGGATTAGCAATACCTTTTTGTGTACAGATGATATCAACTACTCATAGAAAATATTTCGTAATTCAATCGCCTCTAAATTTATGGATAACATTACACCAAAATGATTAAGGCATTCCAGGCAATCCATTCAAACCTTGTCGTTGCTGGTGCATCATAGTCATGCGAGCACGATTCTGCTCCAACCGTTGTACTGTGGCGGCTAAATGAGCATTCTCCACGTACAAGTCTTTAACAAGCAAATCTGCGTTTTGCAAACGCTGCACTTGTTCTGCGATCATTGATCCCTGCGCTTCGATTCGATTATGCAAGTCTGCGAGTTCCATTTGATGTTGCTGCCAGGAACCTGTAAAAATTCAGATTTTAAACCAATGGTACATGTTCATAGCAGAGAGCGTAAATAATAGGTTTTTTCCAATTTTGAAATCATCGTGAAAAAATTATCCTACCACTTTTTAAAAAATGCAATTAGAATAGTCCCTCGTTGTACAGAGGTACACAAAGAGACTGGTTGGACTGAAAACTATCGTTTCTTATGTTTTTTGGCATGCCAAATTTGAATCAGACATCAGAATTGATCGTTATCAAGCCACTTTGTTTTTAAATCGGGAAAATTTAAACGAAAAAGTTTCTGACAGATTTTTTAGTTAAAAAAAATTGGCCTGATAGCGGTATTTGCTACAAGCCAATTTACTTTTTGTGGGCCTTTGTAATATACAATGAGGGACGATTCTAATGATATATATGTGTTATACATACTTCCATATACATATAAAAATTGGTTAATAATGGTTAACAAAAAAAGTGGCTTACAATACATATATGTCTCGTATCCTAATCAGAAATTGGCATAATAATTCAATCTAGTTACTTATGCAAATGAGGGCAGAAAAAGTTAAAAAAATTTACCTAATAGCGATCAATTCTGATGCGGATTCCAATGGAGCATGCCAAAAAACATAAAAAATTATAGATCTATTCTTTGGTACAAGCCATTGTTTCTTTTGTGGCGCTGTTATAATTCATGCATGCCGAACTTTTATTATTCAGCCTCATTGCGTAAGTCGTAAATTAGGCTGAATTGTACGACTCGACTACATTAGCATTGTCTACTGTCGTGCTGAAATAAGTAAACGACGAAAATTGTCGAAAACTATGCAGTGCTGCCAAGTTCTTCCGTTTTAATACACTAGTCGAGTGGAAATTTTAGGCAATGACGCTAAATTTTCGATACGATTCGACTCTCGAAAAACGACTTGCATTCGGCACGACTCCCGCAATGAGGCTGATTATGTGCAAGACTCCGATTATTTCTGCCTTTTATTTTTTGAGGCAAAATAAGAGGCAAGGGTTGACTAATATTTTTGAAGCATAAAGGAATTGGCGGCCGCTGTGGTGTAGTGGTTAGCAGTGTGCGCTAGAATTCCGCAGGGCCTGGGTTCAAGCCCGGTTCAACCCAACATCAAAAAATAAAAAAAAAAAAAAAAAGTTGTTTTCTATTAGCGGTCGCCCCTCGGCAGGCAATGACAAACGGCCGAGTGTATTTCAGCCATGAAAAACAGCTTCTCATAAAAATACATTCGCTTTTCGGAGTCGGCGTAAAACTGTAGGTCTCTCCCCTTTGTGTGACAACATCAAGGCGCACGCTACAAATCGGAGGAGAAGCGCGGCCAAATACTAACATACATATGTGTAAGCGCCAATCTTCGCCTCTTTCAGAATTTCAGGGACTTCTCGGGACTACTTGCATACAGTATTTATTGAGGCCTGTGTGTGTGAAGCATGTGTAAAATATTAAGACCACAAAAAAGTTCTTTGGATTTGAATTTCAATTAGATACTCAATACCAAACCCACAATTGTGAAAGTGACAACTTAAAACAAAAAGCTTTTTTGGTCAATCAACCACCCAAACTAATATCCATTAAGTTCATTTGCTGTAAAGTTAATTTATTAACAGATTTTTCCCTTAACCTGAAAATTTGTCAAGCCAGTATAACATCCTCCGGCCGCTGCACAGTGACTCGTTCAGAACCAGGGGCCCAACCGGTTATGACTTTTATAATAAAAGTTTCGAGAATAAATTTAGTTTGTGACTTTATTTGTTAGAAAAAAAATACTGTTATAATTTGACTTTTATTTTTTTTTCAGTCAAACAATAAATAACACAAAAAAACCTAAGTCCAAATACCAACCAATCGATTCGTCTTGACTTTTAGATTTCAAAAATATATAATTTGTTGATACTGGGATTCTGACTCAGCAAACGAGACAAAAACTACCTGCCGTTTGGTTCCCAGGATAGCAACATACTACGTGGAGTATTTATTTAAATGTTTTCTGTCAATCTTATAATTATTTGATTATAACTGTTGTCAACTTTCAATTATTGTTATTTTTAAGAGCAAATGCATTTTTGTGATATTTCTTTCAAACTACAAACATAACATGAGAACAAAACTGTTTTGCTGATCATTAAGCATAACTACACCTATACATCTTTTTTCATAAGCTTTTGAATTTTTCTTGTGGCCAATATTTTCTCCTTTATGCGAATGCCGATCTTGAAGTGCACCAGCAAAATTTATAAATTTACAGGAAAACATGTAACCAAATTTGTAGCTTTCGAAATTAAACTAAAAAAGGAACACTAATTATCATTTATCAAAAATGTGCAATTAGGCTGGGTGGAAATAAAAGGCATTTGACGGTATTGTAGAAGTAATATTATGTTGTCTTAGTTCTAAGCCAATTGTTATTAGCCGCGATAGATTGATTTAAAACTTATCTTTAGCCCGCGCAATTGATTCAAAGTGTATGAATTTTGAAAATAAAACTTTGGCTCGTAATATCTATGGAATGCGTTAATTGTTATAAACAGGACGATATATCAAATTAAAGATTATTAAATTCATATATCATTTTTCAATAACACTACAAATTTTTAAGATATTTAGATAAAACTTACAAAACCGATAGTTTCCCTTATGAATTTTCAATTCTTTACTACTTCAGCAACCAAGTAAAAAATATAAAAAAGTGAGACGAGATTTATTTCAAACGTTTCTATGTTTTTGGATGTTTATATAATACAAAAAGGACCAAGGACTTGGTCACGCCGATTTGGTCAGGTTTCAAAATCGTTGTGAATGAAGTCAAACATGCATTGTCCAAGATTAGGAATCGTTTGATAAGTTAATAGTAGTTTCAAGCAGTGCAATGCGGTATAGTCGTTGTGCTGTGTATGCAGTTACAGTTGCACGCCTATACTCAATCCCGACTCTTGCGTCCTCGTTCGCGCACTCTGGGCAACGTAAGCAACCCATGTGAGAGATGCGGTAACCAGTCCGAATGGAGCACGAAGATCACGGCAGAAGGAGAGGGAGCTTCGGTGGGGCCACTCCGACTTATTCGGTTTAAGGGCTCACTGATGTCTGCAGCGTCTGTTCACCAGTGGGTGTGGCTGCAAGCGGGTGTCTGTCTTGGAGTAAACGGCTCGCTATATAAACGTGTATTTGGTTGTAAAACCACCCTCGTCCCAGCAATGGGTTGTGCGCTGGGTTTGGGACCCGCCACGTAAAAACCCCTTCCAGTGCAGAAGCGAAACAATGCCCTTATTATGACGACCACGGCAAATGTTTAAAGGACTACGATTTGAGGGCATGCACCTGGAATGTCCGGACCCTTAATGGGGAAGGTGCCTCTGCCCGGCTGGTTGATGTCCTCGTAAGGACAAAAGCTGACATCACCGCCATCCAAGAAATGCGTTGGACGGGGCAAGGCAAACAATGTCTGGGGCCTTGCGACGTCTACTACAGCTGCCATGTAAAGGAGCGCAAANCGTACTGTCGTTCACCCAGGTGGACGAGCGTCTAGCCATAATCCGCATCAAAGCGAGATTCTGCAACATCTCGCTCATCTGCGCACATGCCCCGACGGAAGAGAAGGATGAGGTAACCAAGGATCTCTTCTATGAGCGCTTGGAGCGCACATACGAGCGCTGCCCCGCCACGATATCAAACTCGTGCTTGGCGACTTCAATGCCAGAGTAGGCAAGGAACGGATATTTGGAACCACCGTCGGAAAATTCAGCCTCCACGACGAAATGTCCGACAACGGATTGAGGCTGATCGACTTCGCCGGGGNGGACGAGCGTCTAGCCATAATCCGCATCAAAGCGAGATTCTGCAACATCTCGCTCATCTGCGCACATGCCCCGACGGAAGAGAAGGATGAGGTAACCAAGGATCTCTTCTATGAGCGCTTGGAGCGCACATACGAGCGCTGCCCCGCCACGATATCAAACTCGTGCTTGGCGACTTCAATGCCAGAGTAGGCAAGGAACGGATATTTGGAACCACCGTCGGAAAATTCAGCCTCCACGACGAAATGTCCGACAACGGACTGAGGCTGATCTATTTCGCAGGGGCCCGAAACGTGGTAGTATGCAGTACTAGGTTCAAGCATAAAAAATTTCATCAAGCTACGTGGCTGTCTCCGGATCGAAAAACGAGAAACCAAATCGATCATGTTGTGATAGACGGAAGGCACGCTTCCAGTGTTTTAGACGTACGNTCAGCCTCCACGACGAAATGTCCGACAACGGACTGAGGCTGATCTATTTCGCAGGGGCCCGAAACGTGGTAGTATGCAGTACTAGGTTCAAGCATAAAAAATTTCATCAAGCTACGTGGCTGTCTCCGGATCGAAAAACGAGAAACCAAATCGACGATGTTGTGATAGACGGAAGGCATGCTTCCAGTGTTTTGGACGTATGGACCACTATATTGTTGCAGCCAAGATAAGCAACCGCCTCTGTGCAGCAAAAAATGTGCGCCCGAATATGCAAGGAAAGCTTAACGTCGAAAAGCTGCAATCACAACAGACAGCCAATGCATTCACTACCCGACTCTCACACCTGCTCTCAGAGAGCACTCTTCAACAAACCGACATATGCGAGCAGTGGAACCACATTTCCCGCTCATTAAGTACAGCCGCCGAAGAAGTAGTCGGATTTCAGCGAGCCCGAAAGAACAGCTGGTACGATGAGGAGTGTCAGGAAGCCGCAGAGAAAAAAGATGCCGCCTACAGGGCCACGCTGCGATTGGGCACAACGCGCGCTATGTGCGACCGCTATAGGGATCAGAAGAGGGAAGCGATACGTATTTGCCGCAATAAGAAGAGAGGCCGAAATACGTGAGTGCGAAGAGCTTGAAATGCTGGCCGACAGGAAGAATGCCGCAAAATTTTACCAGAGTTAGGCGACTTGTGGAAGGTTTCAAGACCAGGGCGTACTCCTGTAAGAACAACAATGGCGACCTAGTTACCGATGTTCAGAATGTACTTA